GATTGGTTCAATAGAAATTGCGAGAGGGCTAGAGATCGAAAGACACAAAAATGGAATCAATACAGGAAGAGGCCGAACCCCCAAACATACCAGCGATACAAAGATGCGAGAAACAACTACACGGCAGTGAGGAGAGAGGCAGAAAGAAATTTTGAAAAAGGGATTGCGGACAAATGTAAAACAGAACCAGGTCTATTCTATAAATTCATAAACAACAAATTGCAGGTAAAGGATAATATTCAGAGGTTGAAAATGGGAAATAGATTCACGGAAGATGAAAAGGAAATGTGTGAAACACTAAACGAAAAGTTCCAAAGTGTGTTTGTACAAAATGAAATCTTTAGGGAACCAGATACAATAAGAATTCCAGAGAACAACATAGAACACATAGAGGTGTCTAGAGACGAAGTGGAAAAAATGCTCAAGGAGCTCGGTAAGAACAAAGCAGCTGGCCCAGATGGCGTTTCACCATGGGTTCTGAGAGAATGTGCATCTGAGCTCAGCATTCCACTTCACCTGATCTTTCAGGCATCCCTGTGTACAGGAATCGTAGCAGACGGGTGGAAACAGGCTAACATAGTTCCAATCTACAAAAGTGGCAGCAGGGAAGACCCCCTCAATTATAGACCTGTATCATTGACAAGTGTAATAGTGAAAGTATTGGAAAAACTAATCAAAACTAAATGGGTAGAACACCTAGAGAGAAATGATATAATATCAGACAGACAGTATGGTTTTCGATCTGGAAGATCCTGTGTATCGAATTTACTCAGTTTCTATGATCGAGCCACAGAGATATTACAGGAAAGAGATGGTTGGGTTGACTGCATCTATCTGGACCTAAAAAAGGCTTTTGACAGAGTTCCACATAAGAGGTTGTTCTGGAAACTGGAAAATATTGGAGGGGTGACAGGTAAGCTTCTATCATGGATGAAAAATTTTCTGACTGATAGAAAAATGAGGGCAGTAATCAGAGGCAATGTATCGGAATGGAGAAATGTCACAAGTGGAGTACCACAGGGTTCAGTTCTTGCACCAGTGATGTTTATTGTGTACATAAATGATCTACCAGTTGGTATACAGAATTATATGAACATGTTTGCTGATGATGCTAAGATAATAGGAAGGATAAGAAATTTAGATGACTGTCATGCCCTTCAAGAAGACCTGGACAAAATAAGTATATGGAGCACCACTTGGCAAATGGAATTTAATGTTAATAAATGTCATGTTATGGAATGTGGAATAGGAGAACATAGACCCCACACAACCTATATATTATGTGAGAAATCTTTAAAGAATTCTGATAAAGAAAGAGATCTAGGAGTGGTTCTAGATAGAAAACTATCACCTGAGGACCACATAAAGAATATTGTGCAAGGAGCCTATGCTATGCTTTCTAACTTCAGAATTGCATTTAAATACATGGATGGCGATATACTAAAGAAATTGTTCATGACTTTTGTTAGGCCAAAGCTAGAATATGCAGCTGTTGTGTGGTGCCCATATCTTAAGAAGCACATCAACAAACTGGAAAAGGTGCAAAGACATGCTACTAAGTGGCTCCCAGAACTGAAGGGCAAGAGCTACGAGGAGAGGTTAGAAGCATTAAATATGCCAAAACTAGAAGACAGAAGAAAAAGAGGTGATATGATCACTACATACAAAACAGTAACAGGAATTGATAAAATCGACAGGGAAGACTTCCCGAGACCTGGAATTTCAAGAACAAGAGGTCATAGATTTAAACTAGCTAAACACAGATGCCGAAGAAATATAAGAAAATTCACCTTCGCAAATAGAGTGGTAGACGGTTGGAACAAGTTAAGTGAGAAGGTGGTGGAGGCCAAGACCGTCAGTAGTTTCAAAGCGTTATATGACAAAGAGTGCTGGGAAGACGGGACACCACGAGCGTAGCTCTCATCCTGTAACTACACTTAGGTAATTACACTTAGGTAATTACCTGTTGACGGACGGTTGAGAGGCAGGACCAAGGAGCCAGAGCTCAACCCCCACAAGCACAACTAGGTGAGGACATATATTGTAAAAGCACAAGCCGCCGACTAGTGGCAAAGAGCACTACGCCGGCCAGGCAAAGAAGGCACAAAACTGCATCAAAAGGCCCACCTCGACAGCAAAACCACAAAGTCCCAGCACAACCACAACATGTGCCAAGACCCAAAAAGCTCAGTCTGCAAGCCAGGAAGACCCCGGAACCCCAAAAGGCAGAACTGGGTCACACGAGGAAACAAAGTCCCCCTGAACCCACAAAAGGGGGCCCAAGAGGAAGAAACCTCCAGAACGAAACCAAGGAACCCAAAGGAACCCAGAATCGAACCAGGGGGAGCCCAAACCACCACATTTGCCGGCGGAGAACACCACTAAAAGGCAAAGCACAGACCCCAGCAGAACGCCCTGGGAAAACCGAGGGGCAAGGTGTGGGAGCAAGCATACCAGCCAGGGGCACTGAGCCTAAACCCAGAGGCTCAGACCCAAAATCAACACCCAAACGTTCCCAGAGGAACAGGCAACGGCAAGAAAACACCAGAAAACAAAGAAACGACAACAGGAGAACAAAAACCCTGCAAATTTTTTGAAAACTCACCAGAGACGCTCGCTCGCACACCCAGACGCATGTAAACAAACCGCAACGCCGTCCTGGTGGCCACGCCGGGAAACCGGCAGACGAAAATGGCCGCCAGCAGGGGCTGTGACTGACGCTTAAGACACAAAAACACGCCAGCAAATGTGGGAAGCTAGCAGACTGGAAGGGCGAAAAACGACGCCCAACAGCAGAAAAACCCCTGAAGGGGCAAAACCGCCCCAGAACTGCTAGCAGACAACCCCCACAGCCCCGGGAACCAACAACAGAGGCCCCGGGGCAGAGCCGTCCTCCAAGCCCTCCGCCCTTAAAGAAAAGCAAGAGCCCATGGGAAAGGCAACAAGAAAGGGCCGCTGGTAAGACCCAGAAGCCTTGGCAGGAGGCACAGGCTCAAACCTCCGTCCCCAACCCGAACGGGGCATCCCCCGAAAACCGCCCGAGTCTCTGCCGCAACTGAACCCCGCCCCGACCCCGAAACCCGCAGACGGTCCGGAGCCGGGAACATGGAGAGAAAGGGGCGAGCAGCACCTAACCAAATGGGGCGGCCACGGGGCATTCGAGTGGGAAACCAACCTAGCATGTTGCAGCAACCTAACCGAGCTTGCAACACGGATGCCGCCTGTACTCTGAACAGTAATAACATCAGGAGAGTACTGGAGAACAAGCAGAGAATCACTCGCAAGACTCCGGGTCAAGGTGTCAGTGACCCAACAGGCAGCATGACGGAGGTAAAAATGGCGACTGTCACCCGGAGACAAGGGAACAGCAACCAACGATCCCGTTCAAGACGGGTTGGAACCCGGAAGACACATTCAATGGTCCCCCGAGCCCAGACAGGGGTTTCCAGGGCCCGTAGGGTAACAACTACGGGAAGCCCGGGCAAGGTGTTGCTAACCGGTTAAGAAACCCAAACATAACAAGAGGGTAGATTATAGCACTGAAAACCCCTGAGACGTGTACAAGCACGGGGGCCTAGCAGAGGGCCGCCAAACACTACCAGTGGAACTATAACCACCTTAGGCAGACCCCCACCAGGCAAGAAAATGAAAAACAAAAGAAAAACCCCGCAAAAGTACACCGTCTCCAGAGGCAACAGAAACCGGCCGCCGCTTAGGTGGCAGGCTGCGCAACACCTTGACGCCCTAACCAGCACAATACCAATCCCTACCCAGGGCCAAACAAGGGCCCCAAGCCCCAGCTGGCCCCAAGGGCGAGGCAAATGCCGAGCAGCAAGAACCTCTACGGGAATGGTTCCCGAACGCCCCAGGGAAGATAACCCTGTTACGCAAGGGCAGTACTCACAGGGCGCTTAGGGAAGTCAGCCACTAAGCACATGCAGCCCCGGCACTGATGAAGTACTCCTGGCCACCGCACACCACAACACATGGCAGTGAACGCCACACAAGGCAAACACCGCCTAGGAAACTGAGGCCAGAGAAGCGTCAATCCCGGTTGACATTAGCGAACGAACTGGAGCTTGGCAGCCGGCGCGGTAGGTCCGGGGCTCCCCCCTCCCCCTCCCGGGGTGGGGAGGGCTGCGCGGACGATCGGCGCGGCAGTAAAGTGTGATGTTTGCTTGTTTGCTTGTTTCCTTGGGATTGTAGGGAGTTTTCTACCTCTCTGTTCGGTTTTTGTTGTAGTTTCTTACCATGTGGGGTTTGTTTTGTTACGCCTACCTTTCTGGGTGCCTAACCCCGGTCGATGGCAGATAAGGAAAACCCCCAACCATATGGGGTTTTCCAGGGCCATTGCTCCCTGAAACCTCTCTGAAGGGGCCAGGTTCTGGCGCTGGTCCCTGGTAGGTCTGAACTCCTTAGCTAATGTCCCGGTCTAACATAACATACATTAGCCCGATAAGCTCCAGGGAGCCGTAGGGGCTCCCCACAGAAAATGTAATTTTAGCAAATATATATTCAATTTGGACGTCATATACGTCCCTACCGCACATCCGCAGAACTAATTGTGGATGTCATATACGTCCCTCCAAAACGAAAGTGTTAAGAACTAAATCACATTTTTTATAATGTAAATTTATGGAATGTTGAGATTTATGCCTGGCTCAAGGAACTCTATCTGGATTATTTATTCAGCATCAAATGTATGTGTATTATATATTTTGGAGTATGAGTGTTGTGTTTTGAGTTTTTTGTTGTTGTCAGCATAATCCCAGAGAGCACAATGAGGAGGTAACCATGGGATTTGCTCTCCTCTTCACATTGTTGTTACAGTTATTACCAAACTGTGATTAGAAGAAAAAGTTTACTTACCTTATAAAGTACAGGAAGAGAAATGCACATTCTGCATCTGTATTATACAAACATAACAAGACAGCTATAACAAACATTTATTTAAAATATATAACAAAATACTTTGAAAAGTTTCAAATTTATGCTGTTACCTGAGGACAAGTGTGCATAACAATCATTTTTGAAGGCGAGTGTGTGCGACGGTGTCTCTGGAATGCGTTGTGCCAACTGGTTTTGTACTCACACTCGTCACACTCAAATACGCTACCAATCTGAGAAAAATCAATGCATTATTTTTGTTTCATTACACCCTTTTCTAAAGCATATTTTCCTGACTGTTTATGGTTTTGACAACTGCATATATTTTATAAACCATCATGCAAAGTTTTGCTACTAGGCTTCAAATAAAAAAAATTAAAAAGTCTTGGCATGATTCTATGTATGAAGTTAGGTAATGACATGCTTAACAAGAATCGCTCAACATACATCTGAACATTAATTACATCTACTCACAGGTTTTGGCTGCTTTGCTTTTTTATGTTTAACTCGAGTATGTTTAGAAAGCAGCTTTTGATCGTCACAGGTATAGGCACAGAGGTGACAATTCAAAACTTGCTGTGCATGTGACATCCTGTGCCGACGGAGGTGGCTTGCACGTATTGACACAAAGTTGCACTCGTTACATTGATATAATGCCAAACCCTGAAAAAGAATTTTCATAGTTAAATGTGTACATCATTGCTATGCTAAAAAACCAGCGTTAAAGGTAATGAAACGCTATTTTCTGGGCGAGACCCGAAGGCTCGCCGGAGCTATCCGGGCTAATATGAATGTATTAGACCCTAGCATCAGTCAAAGGCAATTGAGTTTTGTCAGAACCTGGCCCCCTTCAGAGAGGCATGAGGAGCAATAGCCTACTGACACCCCCTGTGTGGTTGGAAGCATTCTATTTCTGCCAGCAACATAGTCAGGCACGTAGAAAGGTAGGCACCCCAAAGCAAACCCTATCTGGCTAAAATATTGCTACTGAAAGCCAAATTGTTGGACAGAACGCCCCAAATGAAAAATGAGCAAATGAGCACGTCGTTACAATTGTCATTGCGCCGCGGTCTGTGCAGCTCCCCACCCCCCGTGAGGAGGAAGGGGGAGCTCCAGACCCCTGTGCCGGCTATCCACACTTTCAGTTCTGAGGCTGGATGTAAAAAAAAAAAGTGAAAACCGCTGACTGGAGGGAGGGAGGGAGGGTTGCCGGGAAGCCTCCATGTCCCACCCAGAAAATGGCGTTTCATTACATTCAACGCTGGTTTTCTGGGGGGAGCCCCGTCGGCTCCCCGAAGCTAACTACCCACAAAGGAAAGTAGAGGGACATACCCGGGAGGCTGTCGCCGCACACTCCTCAACCAGAAGTCGAGACAACTGGCTGCAACTGCCAACTCAGTGACACAGGCCCGACTAGGCCCAGGAATGAATATGAGATAACGAGCAGCCAGGACCCTGTCCGACCGCCAAAATCCCCGTGCCTGCATGAAAACCTGGACATTTTGCCAAAACCGGCGGCAAGAGCCGCGAACCGGCGAACGTCATGGGCACAGGGAGAAACCGCAGGTTGGCAAGACGTAATAACCCTGTGGACGATCCGGGAGACCCGAACTCGCGAATAGGGAAGAAGGGAAACCGGATCAACCCAAAGCACGTCCATGGATACATAAGTCGAGGCGTGAAAAGAACGACAGAGGGCCGCAACCGGGCACAACACATGATGCATCCCCGGCCTGACTAACCAAGCATCAACAACCCAAAGACCCTTCCGGAAAGCAGCAGTCTCGACCATCGCCAGAAAAGAAGGGGACGGCTGCAGATGAACAAAACGACCGGCATGATTGAAAGAACAGAATCCCTGCGCAGGAGGAGAGCATGAAGCTTCCCGACCCAATCCCCAGAGGCTAATGCCAACAGTAAAGAGCCCCCGAGAAAAAAAAAACGGAACCAAAGAAGCCACAACAAATCGAGGAGAAGAAAGAAAAGAGAGCACTGTGTCGAATGACCAGGACGGCTCAGGCAGCGCATGAGCAGGCCGGAGGTGAAACAACGCACGAAGCAGCTTGCGAAAATTGCGCAGAAGAAACATGAACACCGAACGAAAGCTGAAATGGCTCTGCCAGCACCGCACGATACGAGGCAACAGTATGCGGCAAAATGACGGCCCCAAACTCCCACAAGAGAAGGACAAGAACCCCACCTACAAAACACAGCCACCTAAGAAGGGCCAGAAGGATAAAGGAAGGACCACCAAAAAAAACCACACTGCCGCCAAGAAGAAGCACACAGGTGGAACACCATCAATGAAGCCACCTGATCACCAACAGAAGGCGAGAGACTTGAGACTGAGCCTAACTAGTCCCGCCATGGACCAAACAAGCCGAGGAAGAGGCGGAGCCACGGGAAGACCCCGTGTGCAACCGAGCAAGCAGAGCCGGAAACCCAAGCCGGCAAAGGAGGAGATGGAACGTCTGCCGGACAGAAAACTTCCCAACGCCAGCGAGCATGCCAGGAGACCGGAGACAATGGGCCCGACAGAGACTCTAGAGAAGGGACACAGAGACTCTGAAAATGCCAACAGGCAGGAAAAACCAGGAATCAGAAATCCAAACCTGGCAATAGGAGAGCCAAAAGGCACAAACAAAACACACAATGTGTAGGATAAAAGGAAGCTAAGGAACGAAGAAGGCAGGCAGCAAACGGGAATGAAAGGCACTCCAACAACACAGTCGTTGGTCATGTCCCAACACAAGACCAAACTGAAAAAAGGCAAGGTTCGCCACCAGACCAGCACCCGAACCGAGGGGTACGAGTGAAGATGAGAGACAACGGGAATGAAACCACACATCACTGGGAGACAGAAGAACCAGAGGGGACAACAACACCACAAGCAAGACCCTCAGAGGAATGAGAAGAGAAAAACCGACCAATGAGCACAAGGGGCACACGTGCCAGGGGACACAGGTGCAATGGATGCCCAATGAGCAATAGAAATGACAAAAAAGAAAAATAGATTCCAGTGTCAGAGTAGGAGACAAATGGAACGCATGAGAAAGGGATGTGGTGGAGGCTGACCCCACACACAGCGTCAAGTACACACACAACAGAGCCCAGTAGGCTCAGGAAGCCATACATTAGTCGAACGACAGGCAAGAGGAGACCAAAAACCCCGAGCTCTACCCCGCAAACACAACTAGGTGAGCACAACGAGGCAAGCACAGAGGCCATGTATATGGCAGACGAGTGCCAGGCGGGCAGGACTGAAGAAAGAGAGCTCAATCCCAGCAAGCACAACTAGGTGAGGACAACTAGGGGAGTACAGAGAATTCAATGCACCTAGAAAGGCTAAGCCATGCACTGCATGATAGCAAGGAATGAGTGACCCAGATAACACCACTGTAACAACACAAAAAAATGAAGGCCCCAGGAGGAAGCACGCAACGGCCAAACAAAATCCCAACACACATCCTCAGGAACAAAACCGCATCAAAATCACCTCATAACATCTTGACACAGTCACATGTACCTCATCACATTCACCACCACCATTGTACCTCGTAACCTGGTGGAGGTGGAGCCCCGGGACTGACTCAAGCATGGGTTGGACATGCATACGAGTGGGACGAGATGGATATAATCAGGAGCTGCCTCGTATGGGCCAATAGGCCCCCAGCAAGCACCTGGGTTCCAATTTTCTCACATTCATACCCCAAAACCAAGAACCAACGCCTGGCCGAAAGAGACGCCAGACCGCAGAAACTCACCTGCAGAACGTAGGTACGAACGTGTCATGACACAACGTAGCAGAGAAGATGCCGGGAGCACCGCCAGGGAAAGAAGGCCAAAGCTGCACAGGCAGGAGAAGAGCAGGCTAGAGGCACCCCACACCCATAACACAGGAAAACCCCGAAGTCTACCCAACAGCTGCAAACCAGAACACCCCAGTAGCCACGGGGCACGGACTGGAGAACGGAGAAGAGCAGGAGGCGAAGCACCCAAGAGAAAAGGATGCAAAACACCAGCCCTAGTGCACACATCCCATAACCAAAGCAAACTCCCACGGTGCATGCGCAGGACACTGTGTCCGAACCACACAACCGACTCGGTGGGAAGGCACCAACTAGGACTACTTCACAAGAAAAGTAGCCAAACAGACTGTGGCCCGAGTGATTCGCCCAGGAGAAGAACCAACCCAGCTCATGGGAACAGGAACCAAAAAGTAGTAAGCAGCAGCATACATAGCCGGCTTATTCAATGAAGACAACGAACCCAAGCGGCAACCCAATTGGGCTACAATTAGCCCAAGCAGGCATCCCGGACTAGGAGCATGCAAAGAAAACGAGCAGTGCCAAGACAGAGCACGGAGACATTAACACTTTCGCGCTCTCGGCGCTAAAAAAAAAACCAATACCCCAGATGCTTTCGGCACTTCGCGCGCCTATGCGGTAAGACCGAAAAAGTGTACACTCTTTTGACTGTCCTGACAATAATTGAAGGCGCACATATTTAAATTTGGTATCACTGTGTTCGCAATGAAATTGTCCATAAGAGCATACCTATAAAATGCCGCCCAAGCATAAGGAGTATCAACACCAAATAAAAAACTATGCAGATCACTCACCGAGAGCGCCAAACAGCAACAAAATGTTTCCACTTTCTTAATGGTTGCGAAGCCTACAGTTGTCCTACATCGCTAATTTTGGTATCATTGGAATCGCAATAAAATTCTCTACACGGACATATGCATATGAATGTTTAATATAGGTAATTGCCCACCTGCAAGAGTGTGTGAAGTGGAGAGTAGTTAGCCGCGAGCGCACTGGCGAAAACACAGGGGGGAAATCATGCTTGGAAAGTTTATACGTTTCCTGACCCTACTTTTCTATGTATGTATTTCTTTTTTATACCAATGTGTTCGCAATAAAATTTTCTATAAGATGAACTGTATAACATTGGTACAAAGCATGTGTAAGAGAAGCGCCAAATATAGAACCACGTCACTCAGTATGCGTTCGCGGCAGAAACGAACGCATTGTTTTCGTTCGTTTGATGTTTGTCATGTTTATACTTGTTGAAACATTTTATAATTTGTATGAGAGTGATCGCAGTAAAATTCCCTACACAGACATATACATAACACATACAAATATTTCCTACGTGTTGGATATATCAACGGCTAAAGGGAACCCACTGCCACACGCTCGCCACACCCCCAAACATACTTTGTGTATTTTTTTTTTTACTCATAGAAGTTTATGTGATATAATATTCATTCTGGTACCAAAAAATTCGCAAATAAATTCTCTACAAAACAAAAGTATCCCCATCCATTTCGGTTAAAAAATGGAATTTATAGAAATATTTTTTCGATTGACGAGAAAAGTAGGCAGTTATGCGGAATCGTAAGAAAAACCAGTGACGAGTTATCTCTAATATAAAGCGCGAAAGTGTTAACAATAGAACGAGATAGGACCGAAAACCCAGAATAAGCACGGAAGAGGATCAACAAGCCCTAGAAAGGACCGGAGGGAAGCGACACCAAAAGACGACAGACGTTCCAATAATACGGGAAGTGGTGAAAAACCTTCCCGAACCTTCGAAAACACACAGAAGCAAGCGCAAGTCACGATAGCACAAAGGCATAGTCGCACCCAAGACCAAAAGTCATGCAGAACTCCAAGAGAGGGGAACATGACGGAGAAGGCCCATCCCAAGAAAAGGGGGGAATAACGGAGAAGAGCACCCATTGACAGGACGGAACCAACTGACTCAAGGGATAGCCCCTCAGTCTGGGGCTCCCCCTTCCCGTTCTAGGGAAGGGAGGAGCTGTGCAGACATGTGGCGCGGCTCGTGTGACGTCATGCTCGTTTGCTCGTTTTCAATTGGGGAGTCCTGTCCACTCGTTTATCTATTTTCGTTGTTTTAACCAGAATAGGGGTTTGTTTTGGGACGTTTACCTTTCTGGGTGCATGTCCCGGTTGACGCAAACGCCTCTTGAAGGTCATCTCTTGCAACAAATCCAACTCTGCAACAAACCGGGGTGGGGTCCCATATGGTGCATTGAATCGAAGTTGTACTGTATCTGACATGAGAATATGGAAAAGCAGTGGTGTAAGAACTGTTCCCTGATATACAGAGCTTTTAAATGCACTTGGACTCGATTTTATTTGTTTGACTGTTACTGTCTGTGTTCTGTTCGACAGAAAATTGAGTATCTACCATCCCACTTTGCAAGTTATTTCCATTGACCTCATTTTGTGTGCCATCACTCCATGGTCATATTTATCAAATTCCTTTGTAAAGTCTATGTATAATACATCTGGTAGTATACATGGTAGCCTGGGATTCTCTCGGATGTAGGTTCGAACCCTCATCACGGCCCTTGTGGATTTGTTCATTTGTTGTTTATATTATATGTGCTTTCTGTTTTTCTTCTAATGCCTCGATGATTTTGACATAGTGGTCATGTAGCTGTGAGAGGCATGATCTTCCTGTTCTAAATCCATGTTGGCCTGGGTTATGGAGGTCATTGGTCTCCATGAAACTGGTGACCTGACTTCTGATCACTCTCTTAAATACTTTCATTATGTGGGATGTTAGTGCAACTGGTCTATAATTCTTTGCCAATGCTTTACCCACCCCTTCCTTGTGTAGAGAAGCTATGTCTGCTGATTTAAGTGCATCTGGTATCTCCCCCCGTGTCCAAGCTCTTTCTCCACACTATACTGAGTGCCTGTGCTACTGGCACTGCATTTCTTTATAAATATTGAATTCCATGAGTCTGGACCCGACCCTGTTAGGCCCATAGCACTCCATGGATGATGTGACCTAGTAGATGGTACCATCTCAGCATTGTAGCTTCAGGGAGCCAATAGGGGCTCCCCCAGAAATATAAATGACTCAAATATATCCAACCATTTTTGACATATAAGGAAAAAGAAACAAAAGGAAAAACCTTAAACGAAGCAAAGTATCAGAGATACCTAGATGGTACCTCACTCTGTTGCTGAGCCAAGACTGCAATGAGCAAAACCAAGGACTACTAGAAACCCTTACAAATTGAATAAAGATAAAACAAACAGGGCAATTCATGTGCATACAGCATACATAGTTACATAATGTATAACAGAAACTTGTTGGCCTAAACTATATGGAACTGTGTGCAATATACACCAAATTTCAGAATACAGTACACAAAGAAGGTAAAATTTATTTAAAATGTACTAAGTGTTGCTATTACATTAATCTATATGTTATAATTCAGCCCATCCTCCTGTTTTGGTAGTACAGTAGCACCTCGATTAACGAGTGGCTCTATCTACGAGCATTTCGAGTAACGAGCGAGCCACTCGCAGAAAATTTGTCTCTATTGACGACCTTCACCTCTATTAACGAGCAAAACCACATGGTGCTTCCTAACGTCTTGTGGGTTCTCGCAAATTCTCGGATGCCTCCAACGCCAGTGTTGTTGTTTTATTGCGCACGACAAGCATCCCTCTACATTTATTTGTGCTTTTCTTTGGTTTTTTTTTGTGGTTTTGTGACTACAATTTGTAACGCATGATGTCGCAAAAGAAGCTGTTTGCTAAAGATAATGTTGTCAAGAGGAAGAAAGACACAATTACTGTGGATTTGAAAAAGGAAATTATAGCAAAGCATAAGTGTGGTGTCTGTGTGACTGATCTCACAAGGAAGTATGGCAGGTCCCCATCAACAATTTGCACCATTAGTAAGGGGATGAGGAGGTAAAGGAGGATGCTGCCTCTTCCAGTGAGATCAGGGAAGTGTTGGGAATGTTTGAAAAGGGACCGCATTCTTGGAAAAGCATCACCATGATAAAGCAGTGACAACCCGGCGTGTGAACATGTTTAATGACAATTTGCTGTCTCGTTTTAGGAACATCCTAAAATAAAGACAAAAGCAATTGTCAATAGGTACGTTCTTTGGAAGAGTAAGGAAAAGAAGAGTCAGTAATAGTGAACCACAACCCGGTCCCAGTGGGGTGAAATTCCCAAGGAGAGAGAGCCCGTCTGACTCAGAGGTGGATTCTTCTTCCACACCATAACCCCTCTCCTCATTCCCACCTCCCCATCGTCTTCCCACCTCCCACGAGAGCGTCACCAAGTTTTGTCTTGGTTTCCGCATAGGTGACACAGGCTGGAGTCTCGAGAAAAAATATTTGTATAAATTCCAATTTCTATCCGACCTACTTGGGGATAGTTTACAAATGTTCGCCATGAAATTTACGTTTTCTCTAATAGCCAAAGAGCTTATTTGGGAGAACGGCATGGCAGTGAATCATCGTGGTAAAACAATTGTATTATTAACACGACAAGTATAATCGACGTAGTTTTTATATTTGTTGCCGGTCGAACGATCCTTATGTGACGTTTTATACTTATGTTCTTCTAGAACATTCTATTGCAAACACATTGGTACAAAAATGAAATACGTACATCAAAAATTAACGTCAGGACAGTGACAAGAGTATGCACTTTTAAATGTTGCTTCTCGATTGGCCGAAACGCTAATCGCACTTGGGGAAAGTTTTTTTTCATTTGCCAGAACGCGAAAGTGTTAATCGAGGTGCCACTGTACTTATAGTAACTATGAAGACCATAGTATATATACTGATACAACAAAATTATAAAGTATAAATTGCTACTATTGAGTTGGACAAATCAGAAAATTATTTTCTACTTATGTTGCAAAGACAAGCTAAACTAATCTAACCTAACCTTCCTAGGCCTAATAGACAATATCTGAGGCCTAATATAGTATATATGTATGCTATACTAGGCCTAGGAATATTTAAGTTTGTTTTTTAGCTTCATTTTTTCTGACTCTATAGATTGAATATTACAAAGTTCTACAACTGTTTAGCATGGCAATCTTTGTACTATGGTGCACATAATTGCAAAAACTACTATCTAAACAGGAGAATGAATTGTATAATTTTAAATATCCTAATTAGATTTTTTTTAGCCCATTATGTATGGGAAAATGTGTCTAATGAAAATTAGTAAGTTATGCCATTAACAAATAACATATTTAATGAGTTTACAATAACCTACCTTATCATGAAGTTGCATATGTTTTACAAAGTGGTTTTCTCTCATACTCTTGTAGGAGCAAATTTTACATGAGAATTTGAATTTCACTTCCTCACTACAATGATCTTTTAATAGAGCTTCATGTCCTTCGGATATACTTATTTCAGGTTCACATATCATCTTATCATTTTCTACATCCATATCTATGCCTTCTTCCTCCTCCTCCTCTTCTTCCTCATCCTCCTCCTCCTCTTCCTCTTCCTGCTCCTCCTCTTCCTCATCTTTCTCTTCCACCTTTTTAACAAATACATTATCAATATTTTCCTTATTATTAGAGCCTTCCATGCCTTCACACCCACTGAACTGGACCCCTCTGTCATCTAGGGACTTTAACACACTATCTTTTGTTATGGAGGATAAAGTCAAGTTCTCATTAGTTTTGTTAACCACCACTGACTTATTGTAATTTATATGACTAATTCCATGGTCCCTGATTTCAGGATTATTTATATTACTTACAATAATTGTTTCATCACACTCTGGCTCAGTCTTCAAATCTCCTAAAAGTATCTCTACCTTTGGGTTATGTTCTTGAGAGTTTAGATAATTTTGCCTTGTCAGTTTTTCTTCAACATCTTTTTCAATTTTAATATTACTTTCCAACTTTCTAGAAGTTTGATTTGAATATTTGGTAAATATTCTATTACTGAAACTTCTCAGTAATGGTATATGCTGCTTGTCAGTGTTTCTAAATTTAGAATTAGTCATCAAGTGTTTCCTTGACTTTCTTCGTTGTGGGCGGGGCTCTGGAGATAAAGGACGGGAAAGGACGGAATGGTATCTACGTGCAGAACGGTCAAGGCCCAATGAGGAAGCATATCGTGCGGTGGGTGGTGATGGAATTAACTCACACATTACTCCAACCTCGCGTGTTCCAGTTAGATCATCTGTCTGAGGTGAAGGAGGCAGTCCTCTAATTTTTTGAATTTCTAAAAGAATCATGTCCTGAAAAAGCAAATCTATATCAATATATTTTATTGCAAAGATAACACACTATAGTACCAATAACTCTTTAATATAGAATAACACTTGAAATGGTTAGAATGCCAAAAGAATATATATATAGGAGCAATTAATTATGCAGAATTTAATCAAAACACAATTGGAGAAGGTTTGGGCAACCAGCTGTCTATCCTCTGTTGCCATATCAGCCTCTGGTTAATGTTTCTAGGCAGTGCTAGGCATTTGTGATGTTGGGTTAGCTGATCCACCACCGATTGTCTCCACATTTACTGGTGTCTCATACCTGCCTTCCAGGTCATTTCCTCTTCTTTTGTTCCTTCTATATGAAAGAGTTAGCTCAAAATGTCACCAATGGAACCCTCCCAGAAATATAGTTTTGAATAAAATGAAATGCCTCTTTCTAGCAGGTCCCTTTTCACTGATGCGCTTCTTCCCTGTAGTGTTCCAGGACCATTGTTTGGGTGATGCTGAATGACTGGGGGATGGCTGAATGGCACCTTTGGGTCTCTGGGGCTGCCATACAGTGACGAGTAAATGGCGAGTAACTAGCAGTTGGACCTAGATGTGTGTGTACATAGTTTGCATGAAGGTTGCAAATATTATCCAAGCACTTACTTGTTTTAGTGCACTCTACCAATCTGGAGGTCTTTCTTTTGGTACTGTGCTTACCTTTCATTGACTATGAAGAAGTGAGATCTAGCTCTTCATGCTCTGCCTCCTAGCCATTTATACCTGGCATCCTAATTATCACCCTGATCATTTAAGTTTCCATTATTTATTTTTCTTAAAACTTGGGAATGGAATTGGTTTCAACAGTCTCTTCCTTCAATGCATTCCACGGTGGTGATCTTGTATCCCTAGACTTCCCTATGTCTCTACTGAGGAGGCTAAATTCTGGTCTTGGTCTCTGATGATGATGAGAATGATCTCTTTATCCTGGTTCATGATAAAGAGCGTGGTGTGATATCTAGGTTATGGAAGGTTCTGGAAAGTCAGCTCTGGGATCCACCCAGATAAAAAAACAAAAAACCAGCGTTGAATGTAATGAAACGCCATTTTCTGGGCGAGACCCGGAGGCTCCCCAGAGCTATAACGGGCTGATGTGAATATATTAGACCATGGCAACAGTCAATCGAAGAAGTTCTAAGCCTACCAGGGACCAGAGCCAGAACCTGGCTCCCTCAAGAGAGGCACGAGGAGCAATGGCCTAAAGACACCCCCGTGTAATTGGAAGTAGTTTTTGTCTGGAATCTACCAGGTCACGCACCCAGAAAGGTAGGAATGTCAAAACAAACTACTGCTGGCCAAAAACTTGCAAACCGAAAGCCGAAAAAGCAAACAGAACTCCCCAATCAAAAACCCGGGAAACAAACATGACGTCACCACAACCCCCCCTCACCCTGAGGGGGGCGGGGGTGGGGGGGGGGGTGTCCCAGACCTCCACACCGACAACTCTCCCAGTTCAGAGGCTCAGTATCAAAAACTCAAAAAAACGTCGACCAGAGGGAGGAAGGGAGGGATGCCGGGAAGCCTCCAGGTCTCATCGTCGGCGGTGAGACCCGACGGTGAATCGGCGTCGACCGTCCATTCCACGGAAAGGGGAATGAACCGAGACAGGCCGTCCGCCAGGATGTTTGACACCCCCCTGAACACGAACCACCAGGAGAGCCAAACCCCAAGAACTCAGCAGACGAGTCACCCGAAGCGACTAGCCCCAAAGAACCAAGGACCGCATCGAACCCCCGCAGTTCAAGCAATGAACCACCGGGATCAGTTCGAATGGAGCCGGATCGTTGCTCCTCGAGCGACCCGAATCCTCTGAAACGAATGCCACACCGTCACAAACTCCTGTGCCGTGCTGTGAGCTCGACGGAAAGACGGACCCCACCGACCCTGGCCGGCCTGGTGAGCACTTGTCACAAAACCCCAGCCGAGAGACGAGGCATCCATGAACACATTCAGCGAGGGCTCAGGGAGGCACCATGGCACAGAACCCGGAAAAACCCACAGAGGAAGCTGGTGACGCAGCAGCCGACGCAAGGATCCCGGGATCCAAACCCATCGATCGTGAGAGCAGCGGAAGGGACGACCCCGAAGAAACCAGAACATCTGCCGAAACTAGATCCGACCCGATGGGTAGACCAGCACGGCGAAGTTCAGGCTCCCGCACAGCCACTCGAACAACCGACATGTGACCCGTGTGCCCTCCAAAAACAGCCGGAGGCGGGACCGCAGCCGCAATAGCGTCGCAGGAGGGAGTGACAAGGAAGCTGTCCGAGAGTCCCACACAAGCCCCAACCAAGTCCAAACCTGAAAGGGAACCAAATGGGACTTCCTCCAGTTCACCAAGAACCTGAACCCAATGAGCTGATAAAGAACCATATCCCTGGCGAGCAGACAACACGGACTGGCTGGGAGCCACACCAGCTAGTCATTGAGGTAAACCAGAACCCGAACCCCTACTGACGCAAACAGGTCACCATGACCAAGAACCGAACTCGGGGAAGAGTTGAACTCATAACAAAATCGTACAGGGAGGGGGAGAGAAAAACCCCTTCCCCTGTAACAACAAGCCCCACACTGAGGGTACCAAACACCCACGCAGGGACCAGTGGGGCCCAGGCATCCCAAGTCAACTCCTCCCCAGCCTCGGAATCCTCCACGTCAGGACCCGGGGCCGAGCAGTCCTCCAAACCCTTTGCCTTTGGAGAAAAAGCAGAGTTCACCGGAAAAGCAGGAATGAAGGGAGCCCGCTGGCATGGCCCAAAAGCTCTGGCAGGAGGACCAGGATCGAATGCTTCCACCGCCAATCCGGAAGGGGCAATCCCTGAAGCCGCCCGAGTCACACTACCAGTATAATTCAGCGGGGCAGCTGCGGGCATCCGGAAAGGCAACCAACCTCTCACGTTGCTGCAACTTAAACCATGCATGCAACGCTAAAGCTTCTTGCACCCAAATATCAGTTTCAGTGGACTGGGTGAGTTGGAGTACAAGCAAAGAACACCACTCGCAGGACTCTGGGTCATAGGTGACACTGACCCTAACAGGCAGCAAGGCGGAGGAAGACGGTGAGTGTCAGCCTGAGACATTGGGACAGAGCAACCTTGAAACTCGCACAAGACGAGGTGGAACTCAGAGGTCTCCTACATTGGACCACTGAGCCCCAGTGGAGGTTTCCAGGGCCCTTAGGCTGACTGCTACGGGAAGCCCAGGCGAGGTACTGCTAACCGGTTATTCCAGAGCTACCAAGCAAACAACTAAAAGTTGAACCCCTGTGACGTGTGCAAGTACGGGGGACTTGGAGGGCCACCAAAAACCTACTAGTGGTCCCACTGCCACACCTGGCAAACCCCCGCCAGGCAAAGCAAAACAAAAACAAAAGAAAAACCCCGCAAAAGCACAACATCTCCAGGTGAACAGAACCGGTTTCTATGCATATGTCAGACAGCTGCACAGTACCTTGCGCCCCAGCCAGCGACAAAACTACCTCCTGCCCAAGGGAAAACAGGAGTAAGAACAACCCCAGCTGAACCGCCAAGGACGGGAAATCACCGAGCAGCGACAGAACCACACGGAGGTAGCTGCTCCTGAACGGCTCATGGAAGACAACCCTGAAGCCGCAAAGGCAGTACTTACAGGGGCACCTAGGGAAGGTAGCCCTAGGTGCATGCAGCCCCAGTACTCTTGTGTTACTCCTAGCTCACACACCACTAATACAGAGCAACAACATGGCAATGCAGCACTGCACTAAGAGTGGTGCCAGAGCGATCGACGTTCACCATCACAACAGCCTTTGAACTGGGGGACAAGTCCGGCGTGGGGGTCTGAGACCCCTCCCCCCCCCCCGTTGCTTGTCCCACACAGCTCTCACCCTCCTCCCAACTCTGTATTCCCTCTATTTCAGCAATCTCTCCTGCTCTGAAGGGGGAAGTGAGTACTGAGCAGTACTCAAGACGGGACAACACAAGTGACTTGAAGAGTACAACCATTGTGATGGGATCCCTGGATTTGAAAGTTCTCGTAATCCATCCTATCATTTTTCTGGCTGTCGCAATATTTGCTTGGTTATGCTCCTTAAACGTTAGGTCGTCAGACATTATTATTCCCAAATCCTTTACATGCTGTTTTCCTACTATGGGTACATTTGATTGTGTTTTGTACTCTGTATTATGTTTAAGGTCCTCATTTTTACCTTACCTGAGTACCTGGAATTTATCACTGTTAAACATCATGTTATTTTCTGATGCCCAGTCGAAAACTTTATTAATATCAGCTTGAAGTTTTTCAATGTCCTCAGCCGATGTAATTTTCATGCTGATTTTTGTGTCATCTGCAAAGGACGACACGAAGCTGTGACGTGTATTTTTGTCTATATCTGACATGAAAATAAGGAACAGTAGTGGTGCAAGGACTGTACCTTGAGGTGCAGAGCTTTTAACATTGCTTGGACTTGATTTTATCTGATTGACTGTTACTCTTTGTGTTCTGTTCGACAGGAAATTGAGTATCCAGCGTCCTACTTTTCCAGTTATTCCCATTGACCTCATTTTGTGAGCTATCACCCCATGGTCACATTTGTCGAACGTCTTTACAAAGTCTGTGTATATAACATCTGTCTGCATTTTGCTTTTCTTCTAGGGCTTCTGTGATTGTTGACATTACATTGTCATTTTAAGGTCAATGCAATGGCCTGCTACAGCTTTATCTGATGAGTTTTTTCAACAAAACTTTGCAGTTCTTCCCATACTTCACACATTTTCTTAACCCATAAATGGCGCATAGCTATATACCATTTGACACCCACAGGCGCATACCAAAAAAAAAAAAAAAAAAAAAAAAAAAAATGATTTTTTCTTCCTAACCTGTTAATTTGTGTTCACTGATCACGGGAAAAATAATAAAAAAAATCGTAAGTGGCATATATTGCCCAATATAGGGCGGGGAATTCTGGCAAAAATCAGGCGCTGACTGAGCGTGCGTCC